GGATTTGACATTATTCAAAAATTTCAGCAATAAGTATGAATTTGAAAAGGACCTATAAGGACCCATTTAACTATTCCAGCAATAGCTTAAATAATTTTCCAACCGACACTCCATTTCGACGTGTGCGTGAGTTCAACCCCGGCCGCTTTTCCCAACAAGGGAGACATTCTGATACTGAGGATTTTTGCCGTAGCTCTCTCGATGGTCATCCACGCATTCGTTCATCCAAAGGCAAGTTATAATTTTTTTATTTTCAAATTTCACGATTGCAAAAGTAATTTTTAAAATATAGAAACAATAATAAGTTATTTTTAATAACCTGGATCACTTATCTGTAAATATGAGGTAGATCCGTAAGTTTAATTGTGTTTTTCCTATCAAAATATGATATCATACGAAGACCATTAGAAAGTATGACCACGCGATTAAATGTGAGACTCTGAGCTATCCCATAGACCATCTTCTGGAGTATACGAATATTGTGAGTGGCAGTGTGAAGAAGCAGTATTTTACATACTTCAAGAAAATAAACTGTAGTCGAAGGCGTCATGAGGATTTATTTGTGTGATTTCAAAGGGAGTGGGAATAATTATTTTATACATACTTTATAATCTCCTGGTATGCTAAAATGCAAATGATTATTCGAACCGAGTGTGTTGCCACTATGAAAATTCAGAGTTAAACACAAAAGGCGTACCTGAGCATTAAATAACGAACTCTTTTCAACAGATTGTTCTACATTTCCAAGTCGAAATTCTTCTTTAATAAAGTCACTTATATATATTTACGTATGTTTTAACCCTGCCTGCGCTACTTCTGCATAGCTTCGTATAGGCCCACGTCTCAAACCAATTTTATTTGATCCACACTGAAAGTTAATTTCACGGAGCATTATGTGGGGGATATTCTCCCCCTATCCTCTTCATTTTAAGATATTCATCATTTTTGGACCGCAGAATTTACAGAATACTGCACAATGATTTGAAGCGGATACATTTATTTGACTCTACACTCTATTTTTATATTAGTAGACAACCACTGCAACCACTAAACATCAGGCGAGCGGTCATATTTAGACGAGGCCAACTTGTATGCACTCGAATTTAGTATAGTTTCATGTAAATTTCTTTTTGCACTTTATACTGAGCGTGATTGTGGCTGTCGTCAAGATTTACTTTAAATAATGGTTAAATATTGCAAAAGATATAACGTCCTCCCTGTTTTTACAATTTTGCTTTTTTATACTTCTCAAAGAATATAATGCAAACCAAATGCCCTATCTATTGCATACAAGGATAATTTTTGTGAATTACCTTAAACTGAATGAATGAAAACATTCGCGTTCCAGCTATTTGCATTGAAAATGAAGAAAACGTGTCAAGCATCGGATCAGTTGGTTTATTGTCCTGAGCTTTCGAACCCTTACAGGAGTCCATCTCCAGAAATGAGAAGTAGTCTTCCTCCTTGTGGTTGCTACTTCTCACCCCTGAAGATGAACTCCTGTAAGAGTTCAAAATCTCAGGACAATAAACCGATTGATCCGGTGCTCGATACGTCTTCGTCTTTGTTTACCTTAAACTTTTTTTTCAAATTTTCTGACGACTATCCGAATGAAACAGCGTAATTGCCTTGATTGACTTATTATACATCAATAATTAGAATTTTCAGATAGGCCTGAGTACTCAACAATACTCAACGATAAGTTTACATTAATAATTCAAGTTTAAAAAAATATAATGCGCAAGTATATCTAATTAATGTGTATTAATGGCCTGTAGATATGCTTTTGGACTTCCTCATTTCCTACACATTAACAATTTCGGTAAATCATTAAACCACTTCCACTTGAAAGAATCAACCGCAAAATGGAAAGATTTTTCCTTGCTATTCAGGTCGGAGCCCTAGTCAGGTCCCTGGAATGCCTGTCGCGGCCCCTCCGCCCGCTCATCTCGGCGGCCCATCAGAAGCATTTGAACAAATTCGCGCAGAGAACCGTGCAGTGGGACGTCTTTTCTGTGATGCTACCTTCCCAGCCGACGAATCCAGTCTCTATTATAGTCGTCGACCCCCTTGCAATATTGTTTGGATGCGACCACCAGAAATAGTATCCGCAATGTGCCGCACTGATGTGTTGGGCATTGCTCCACGAAAAATAAACTACCCCGAATTTATTTCCGATGGAGCAATTCGATTAGGTGACCTGCGACAAGGCGAACTTGGTACGTTTTTGCACTGTGTGCTTGCATTGGTCAATCTTTGAAGGCAATCAGTGTGACCTTTTTGACCGTCTTAAATTGCACCTTAGTTGTTTTGAAACTTTTTTCATCCTTACAGTTTCCTTTATTAAAGAATTAAATCGAATTTAGACCTCCTATAGCAGTCGATCAGACGTCACAAATCTGGCCACACTGGTATTTAGCAAATTTGGTTCTCAATTTTTATTCTGACTACGGATATGGTTCAAATGTTTTAGTATGATGCGAGATTAGTGTGAATAAGATTTATTCATGTGAAGATGGCTAGGGATAAAGTATAGTAGGTAAAATCTGCCGTTCGCACTTAAGTATCGGGGTGGCGGACTTTGCAAGCGCCCTATCGTGGTTATACACTGAACATATTTGTCTTTCTTGCTATCCAGAGCAAAACGAACGCGTAATGACCTAATACTGAGTGGAGTAAACCACTTTGGAATTTAAAATTTTCACAACAAAATATGAATTGTCTATTCGTTTAAGTGCCAATCGTAAAGATGAAAAAGAAATCACATTTGCTGCATCGCAGCGCTTTTTCACAACGAAGAATTCTGGTGCACCCTGGACACTTTCCTCAAGAACTCTCACACTTTCATGCGTTTAATGGCCATAAACAATGTAAATTTTATACCCCATGGAGAATTAATGCAAGACAAGTCAATACTAATTCCGCAATCACGTAGATAACAATGTCTGCAGTGCACGCGAACTGGTTTCGGTAACTGTAAGCCTTTTATGTCGTGGAAACAAAATATGAAATTTTCGTTGCACTTTATTTTGCAGACGGCTTTTTTGGGTTTCAATTGCCTCAAGAGAGCTGAGATGACCTTCAAAGAAAGATAAGCTACTATATTTTGACCGTAAGCCCGGGGTGACTGACGCGGATGCATTTAAGAACTTGCTTCAAAGATTACAACGCAATGAGTAATCTGATAAATATCTTCAAATGCCCAAACAACGCAATGCTTGTTTGCCTGGAGGTGTTACGGTGAAAATATTTGTGATTAGATCAGAAGAAGCGATCACTGGAACACGAGGTTTATTGTCCTGACGTTTCGGATTC